TTAGAAATAACAATGAAAACTGATATAAGCTCAATCAGATTTCATTAGAGTTGTTACAGATTATTTTGGATAAAGATATGTTTATCAGTTATATTCATGAAAAGTGTCCTTAAATGTAAGAATTAAAAATCACCATTGTAAAACTGACAGATCATTTTATTTAAACATATACTTGATATTCTTCCTCTCAAAATCTTTCTGAAATTGATCTACATGTTAAAGGAATAAAATTTAGGAAAAATTCCGATAAAGGGCAATAAAAATTAAGAATATTCCTGAAATGATATAATTTCAGAACTAGTCTTTTTTTGTGACATTTCTCATGTTTCAAATTAAAATATAAATTTTATAAATATTGATATTATTCTACATTAGTTATATGTTAGTTAATATGCCTCTAGTTACGAAGGTGTGTTTTTCATTTTTTTTACAATATTTTTATTCATTTCAGAGAGAAAGGGAGAGGGAGAGATAGAAACATTAATGATGAGAGAGAATCATTGATTGGCTGTATCCTGCACACCCCACATTGGGGATGGAGCCTGCATCCCAGGCATGTACCCTGACTGGGAATCAAAGCATGATCTCCTGGTTCATAAGTTGACACCCAACCACTGAGCCACTCGGTTCGGGCACAAAGGTGTGCTTTTAAATTCAAGGACCAAGATATAGAAATTCTTTAGAAAAGCAATTTCCAGAAAGTTGCTGTTAAAGTTGTAGTGAGTAAAATTTTCCATCATATTATATAGTTTTTTTTTATAAAAAGGAAAGCAAATAAATAGTACTATGGAGTCATCGTTTGTCTCCTAGTGTTATTCTGTTCCTTGGACCACAAAATGCAACACAGTGGATTAAATTAAAGAAATATGTTGCCCTGGCCAGGTATCACAGTGGTTAGGGTATCGGCCCACACACTGAAGGGTTGTGGGTTCTTTTCTTTCAAGGGCACACACCTGAGTTGCAGGTTTGATCCCTGGTTTGGTCAGAAAGTGTGCAGGAGGCAACCAATCCATGTGTCTCACATCAATGTTTCTCTCTCTCTCTCCCATCCTTCCCTCCCGTCTACTCTCTCTAAAAATCAATGAGAAAAATATCCTCTAGTGATGATTAACAAGAATAAAAAATCAACATTAGACATTAATTAAAGCAATTTTAAAAATAAAAGTTAAAAAAAGAAATATGTTGAGGGTTTGATTGATAATACCAGACCAGCAGAGATGACCACTGAATAATATTACACAAAAAAGATTTTGAGCTTTATAGACACACGTTTTTCCCCCTTCAAATGACAATAACTGGTTTATATGGATTAATAAACTTGGGAAATGTACATGCTTTTGTTCCCTTACTGAAAATCCTCAGAGTTATAGAGAAATGTATTTACAACAGTGCAATTTCAAATATAAGATTTATGAGGGACAATGTACTTCTCCACATATATACTCTCACCTTCAAAAATGTTTCCTGCCCTAGCAGGTTTGGCTCAGTGGATAGAGTGTTGGCCCGCGGACCAAAGGGTCCTGGGTTCGATTTTGGTCAAAGGCACGTACCTCCGTTGCAGGCCCCTCCCCAACCTGGGTCCTGGTCAGGGCTCGTGCAAGAGGCAACCAATCGATGTGTTTCTCTCACATTAATATTTCTCTCTGTCTTTCCCTCTCTCTTCCACTCTCCCTAAAGATCAGTGGAAAAATATCCTCGAGTGAGAATTAAAAAAAAGTTTCCTTATTCCTCCTTTCTTTCACTTTTCAACTTCTTACTGGAGTAGACAATACTAACCATCAAAGCTAATTAACTTAAATAACAATCTTAGAAACATTTTTGTCTCCCACTCCTGTTCCTCCCTGGTGCCACATCCTACCCATTCTAGTCCTTCAATGATGAACCTGTTGCCTACCACACTGAGACCAGACTGCTCAGAAAGACATTGAAATCTCTGAGATGGCCACCTCAATGCTCCCACCTTACAGTCAACCACTCTTTCACTTGTCCTAACACATTCTGCCACTGGGCCTTGCTCATACTGTTTGCTCTCTGGAAAGCATGCCTTTTTCATGTCTGTAAAAGTCCTCTCCTCAAGTTTCACCCTTTGGCCTCTTCCATGAAAGTCTTTTCCTATCTACGTTTCTTATCAGAATGACTTTCTCATCTAAACTACAGTATATTATCTTTTCATGTAGCACTTCTCATATTCATCCTTGTTTTATCAAGTATTTGTATGTATGTCTTTTCTTACCTTCTAGATTTTAAACACACTCAAGCAAGAAATGTCTCACAATCATTTTGCTATCACCAAAAACTCCATAGTATGGCACCTTTGCAAACAATATACACTCCAGTGTTTAAGAAATGTAGGTATGAATGAACATACTATCTGATCAGATATTAAAGCCTCAATAATCTAGCAGTGTTACAAAATAAAGTAAGTCAAAAGCAGGCCATTAAAACACACTATGCTGTCAAATGTAAGCTAACAGAAACTGTCTTCCTATTATTCTTATATCAGTAAAGAAACAGAATAAAAAGATTAATGTTTATAGATTATTTAATCCTATCATTTAAAATATAATACTTAACAAGGAGTAGTCTCAACGAAGTTACAAATCAATTACCTTTGCTTGCACTTTCTATATGTTCCAGTTCTTCAGGAAATTTCAGGATATCCCGGTATTTTTCTTCACAAATTTCAGCAATAAAATGCAAGAGGGTTGTTTTTTGATCTGATGATTTAGTATCTCTTATCTGGAATGAAAAAAACAAAAATATTAGTATTTTTTTAGTAACAAATACAAATTTTTTTCTTAAATAAGTGGAATGCATAAACTCAATTCATCATAATTAATTAAAAAATAAGTTTGGGGTAGGTTCCAGTGGGGTCTAATAATAATGCTCTGAATTTTAAAATGACCCCCCCCATTTTAAAAGCAAGAAAGATGACAAAAAAGTGAAAAATTAAATGTGAATCTATTTTTAAAGTGTATAAATTATCATGGTAAAATGAATGATTCTTTTCATGAGAAAACAACTTTCATTCAAGTATTGATAATAGAAATCCAAGTTAATGTGTGCTTATGTTATCAGCATTCTGTTCTTCACTTTATCACAGAAATATATTCTGGAAAGAGTTTCCTTTGTGAAGTTATATTTATTTCTAGCCATCATTGATGCAAATTAATGTAAAAGAGTAAACACATTTTACCCTCCTTTACTTGCATGGGCCATCAAAAAAGAATAACTGACAACTTCTTATGCAGATTTATAAACAGAATCCAAGCACGCAATCATGGTAATATGACAAAGTTTATTTGTATGCTTACATATTATATTTCCTTTGTAGAGACACTAGGAAAGAGATGCTACAGTTAGAATCATAAAAATCTTTAAAGTATAAGATAAAAAAAAATCTATGATGAGAATCTAAGTGTTTTCCTTAATATAACTCTCATACTAGACTAAGCTGCGAATAAAATCAAGGATTTACTGAAAAACAAAGGATAAATATGGCATAAAGTATCAAGTTTTCTCATTCTGTTGGATGTTTTAATTCTATAATCCTTAGATGATGGATTTGTCTACTGATGTTCATACTGATTCGGGGTTTTTAGCTTTAAGGATTACTCTGTTTCAAATAAATGAGTATTCTTCACAAACAGGTTTATAAAAAGGCTGTGGAGGATATTTAGCTAACTACAAAGGAATTTAATTTTACTGTTTTAGTGACTTAGACCAAAAAAAATTGCATTTAGTCAATCAGTCCATATTGAATCTCTTTTGTGCTACAGATTTTAAACAACTGTTTACAGCCCAATGACATGAAAAACTTCAAAGAAATATTACTCTCAAGGCTCAAAAGAAACAGTCACAGGAGGCATGATGTTGAAAGTTCAAGTGGTCACAATTATTTCTTTTAGAATTTCTAGGATTACCTTATCCCAGGTAAGTAAAATATGTAAAACTTGGCATTATTAGGTTGATTCACCAAACACTTTAAAGCACCACAAGGTTGAAATGACACAATTCAAGGACAAGCTATAAGAACAAAAAGCACCAAAAACCTCAAGGGCAATCTGTCTTAAGTAAGGCTTGTGGCTGTATTGGAATCAATGGGAAGCTCTCTTTCCTAAGGAGAGGTCTCTACCTGGGATTACAGTGTTACATGTTCACGAAGTGTATCATTTTCAGAGGATGCTGGATATTCCATCTAATAAGAAAATTAACATTTACTTTTTTCACACAAATTACCTAAATTCCTAAATCCTAAAATCCTAAAAGTTAGGGAAAATGAAGGTACATCTTCATTTTGTGATGAAACACACACACACACACACACACACACACACACACACACACGCAAAACAACAAAAACCCACCTAATTTTTCAGGACACCAAATTGTACAAGTATATTATATTTTTTTAAATGCACATGGCCAACACTAGAAAGTAAAACATAAAAATAAAAAAAGAGCATTGTGCTCATATGTCAATTTTATGGATGACTGAAAACTTCAGCTGCTGACATGAATACTTACACATGCTTAACTTTCAAAAACTTTTTAATTGGTAACTATTAATTCAGAATCAGGTCCATTAATTTTATTTCTGTTAAGAAATTTAGTAGAATCAATGGTTATATTTTAAAAAGATAGAGCATAATATTTCAGTTAAATAAATATCTTGGTATCTTTGTCAAAATCAGAAAGAGTTGTAGACAGAATATGCATGTACTTTTTATTTTTATTTTATTTTATTGTATTAACTATTGGCCCAGTGCATGGATTTGTGCACATTGAAAGGAAATTAATTAGAAGAAATATTTTAATATCGCTATTTGCCCTTTCTCTATAATAGAAGTGTCGACCAAATTCACAATAGACAATGACAGATCAAAACACACGCATGCGAGTGGCGCCAGCAAAAGCTTTATATGTATCACACATAAGCGAGTCAACTTAGCCTTTTATAGATATAGAATAAACTTGCTTAATTAGACCAGCTTTCTGATGTAGCTAAACTTTTTCCAGCCAAGTGAAGCCCCACAACTTCTCTTTTAGGTAATTGTCAGCAACACAGCAGTAAATATCAACATCAAGCAGATTATTATTGTAGATCACACATGGAGAACAAAGGGTAAATTAACTGCAGCAGTGTTTGACAATATTCTGCATAGTGAGAAAACCTGAAGTCATTTTCAAGGTCCACCATTTCTTACTTCTTTTCAGTCGGGTCAAGTTTCTAAACTTTCTAAATCTCCATGTTCTGGCTAATGAAAAGAAAATAGGATTCTACTGAGTCTCCTATCTACCTACTCCAGGACTTCTGTGAGCATCAAATGAGATGAGGCATAGGGAAATGCTTCACAAACATCTGGTTAAAGTGTAAAATGTTTCCACCTGGCTATAAAGCAAGTCATGTTCCTGGGCTAAAGAAACTGAAAGGAGGCTAGTGGTCACCAGGGAGAGGAAGCCAGGCGTTGCTACGTGACATCATTACCTGGAGGGACACTTAGCATATTAGCCTTTTATATACCGGTATATAGATCCTTGCCCAAGGATATGTTTTACTGATTTTAGAGAGGGGAGAGAAGGAGAGGGAGAGAGAAAGAGATAGAGGAAAGAGAAACATAGATCAGTTGACTTCCACACCCACTCCTACTAGGGATCAAATCCACAACCCAGGTACATGCCCTGATTGGGAATCGAACCCACAACCTTTTGGTGCACGAAACTATGCCCCAACAAACAGCCACACCAGCCAGAGCTGCATGTATTTTTCTCAGAATTGTAATATTCCCTTTGAAGCATGGGCAAGCATGGCCAAGTGCCTGTCTTATCAAGCTAAGAAATACCTTGGTGGGTATAGGAGACAAATTGCTAAATCTGTATTGCAATATTTATTTTTTAAATAACCTCATACAGAGAGTCCTTTTTAAGGCTTCAAACTGGAATGGAATAATCATGACAAATATGTGGTCTTGGTTATTTTTTTCTATTTATATGAACCTTAGGTCAATCATTTTAAAATAAAATTTAAATAGTAAAATATAAGGTGAAAGAATGTTTACTTATGAAAATATATTTACTTTGTTCTATCATAACATCAATCTCTCTTACCACAAATACACCATTCACACATTAGCCACTGTCTCTCTCAGGACCTATTGTTGTTCAATATCCGCACAGAAGGCAAGAACATTCACCTTCATTAACTCTAATGGTTAATGGTAATTACCCAATAATTTGCTCTTCCAAGTGTACTAGTTGGATATATACATTCCTTGGGATAGTATAAAAGTAACCTAATCTGAGTTTGGGTTAGTTTATCTACACTAATAAAAGACAAACATGCAAATTGACCACACCTTTGCTACACCTTAAGCCATACCCACCAGCCAATCAGAGCGACTATATGCAAATTAACCCAACCAAGATGG